CCTCCCCCTCCCCCTCTCCCCGCTTCGTGCGTTAGTCTGTGTATCGCTCTTGCCCTTCTCGCCCCAGTCAACGTCGCCAGCCGAATGGAGTCCACGGGTGTACCTGGTGCCGTACACATTTCTGCGGCCACGCGGGCCTTATTAGGCGCCGCGGCCGACGGGTTTCTTTCCACGGGGGGAATTCCCGTCAAGGGCAAGGTACGGATTGGGGAGTTGGCAGTTGACGGCTGGGAATTGATGTTATTGTTCTTTCCTGGTATTATTCGCACTTTATTCGCACTGGTCCACATGCCCACGGATCCGCCACCACGCAGTTCTCTTCGGCAGTTGTTTACCGGAGAAGTGAGGGGGGGGCATGTTCCCTCACTCACTCACTCACTCAAAGAATACCAAGCGCAGCATCATTCGCGTATTGGGGTGTGAAACGCAGTTCTTCATGCAGGTCGTCATCATGTCATCCTTCTCTGCGCCTCCCCCCGGCCTCACCAAACCATGTAACCCATGCGGTTGTATGACGTACGGCGCAGGGGTTCATGCTCACGTACGTGTACGACCCGTGCGGCGTCGCTCCGCAGCGCTCTTAAACAGTCTCCCGAACTGGATCAGGTGCGGAACGGGAGGGTGGCGCTGTGGCGGGTGCCGCTAAGCTATCGGGTGCCTGTCCTGATCCTGATTTACCAATCTTGACCGCTACAGCCGTGCCGGGTATTGGTAGGGAAGGTCCCCAGGTCCCGGGGGGAGAAGCATCTAGCGGTACACCGACAGAGGCGCCGCCTCCGTTGCCGCAATAGGCCATGTACGACATGACGTACATGGCGCCCCAAGTGGTATGATTGTGCGCGCGTGTTGCAAAAGCGAGGACCGCTCTCTTGCGTGTGTGCCATTCCCGAATGTATATTCGACGTGTGTTGTACTGCAGCATGTACGGAGTACGGAATACGGCATAATACGGATATGGCACGTGTTTGTACAATTGTGTCAGTTTTGTACTTTGGCTTGGTCCTGCGATGTCGGTTCCCGCAGCTGTGAGGGAAGGTGTTTTCCGGGCGCGTGCAGGAGGGTCCTTCGAACCCGCCATGAATATC